GCACCGGCCAACAGGTAAGTCTCCAACCCCGCGACTGGCCTCACGCTACTTCCATCGATAGGATGAGCAAAATGGAATGAATCTTCCGTTAGAGCATCGGAATATACACTACTACACGCGCGCGTGTGTGTGTGTGTGTGTGTGTGTGTGTGTGTGTGTGTGTGTGTGTGTCGAATGAATCTACCGCTAGAACATCAAATATACACTACTACACGCACGCGCGCGCGTGTGTGTGTGTCTGATTCATTCCGATTTTGCTCATCCTATCGATGGAAGTAGCCTCTCTCTATCTCTCTGCGTGCATGGCTGGAAAACTCTCTCTCTCTCTCTCTCTCTCTCTCTCTCTCTCTCTCTCTCTCTCTCTCTCTCTCTCTGTATCTCTCTGTTGCTCTCTCGTCCTCCCTTTCACACCATCGCTTTGCCCCCTCGCCTGCAAGCCCCCGATGCTCACGAGAGCAGCCCGCCAGTCACATCGCGTCTCTCTCTCCTCTCTCTGTCTCCGGCGCCCACCGCATTTTTGACCCCCTCCGCCCCCTGCCACCCGGCTTGGCCTTCCTTTTCCCGCGGGTGAGGAGGCAAAGCGTTGCAGGAAGACAAGAAACAAGGGGCTGTGACAAACCGTTTCGTTGGAGTTTCACCGACTCATCAGGAGGCTGAATATTTTCTTACTTATTTTTTGACCCGACCCCCCCCCCCAGAAAACCGGGCCACGAGGTAGGCCTCGTTGGCCGTGGCCGTGGCCAACTTTTCCGGCTGCTGCAGCTGATTTGCCCGCGGGTGTCACGTAGCCCGACAATACACTTCAATGAGCTTCACTGAAACTTCCTCTTCTCCCTACGACCCCCAGCCTCCAATGATAGCCCACTGTTGAAGACGGGATCTCATCATGCCCCAAGCCTGTGAGTACAGGCGCTGATCTGGTATGAGCCAGATATCAAGTTACATCGCTGCAGACCACCGTGAAGAAGAAGGTGAGCCTCGATGAAGAAGATGATGGCTGCCCTGGTATGGCAGCAATTAGCAACAAGCAAGCCACTCAAGGAAGAAAGCGGCTGTTCTTCAATTCCACAGACAGTAACGTGATGGCAGTGGCATCAGCACCTGGAAGACCTCCTACAGGTGCTGCCTCCTCAAGCAGCAGGGCGCCCCAGCTATGGCTGCCCAAGTTCCATTCGAAGAGGAAGAAGACTGAGCGCTGGAAATAGTGCCGCTCACGTACTCCCGTCTCCACTTCCCCCCTAAAAAAAGAAAAGAACCCCAAACTTGTCGGCCTCTGCCTACTTCTACCTGACTTCCCTAGACCCACAACACAGTAGTCACCTACAAACCTATCTGACCGTTCAAACAGCACACATCGACGACCAAACAGTCAAGATCTGCTTATCTGCATCTAGATGGGAACCTAGACCAAGGGGACCCAAGACTAGGGCACACACAAGGGAGACCTACAGGCCTACCAATTTCCAGAAATTAGAAAAGGACAAAACAGCAAGGCTGAAGGGCCTAAGATTGCCAAGTCCAGTAGTACTCAAAGCTAGTGAATAACACATACAAACTCTAGGTCACGGGATCAAGTCCCACAGGGCTCAGACCAGGGGAACAGCAGACCAACATAGTGTACAGCCCGCGTGAGCAACTGCAATTCATTGCACTAGAATGGAAGGGGTATTGGTGTAGATCTGATATAAAGTGGGGACCACCCAGATCTGAAGAGGCCAATGTATATGTAACTTAAACCACCAGTACATGACCCAGCTATTTTGTTCCTACGCGGCCTTACATACGCCACAACGTTTGGCGCTTCGCCTACTGGATCTGTTTGACTGGCGGCGGTTTGTTCTGTTTTTGGCGCACAGCACAAGTGTGCCTCAGGAAAAAGAAGCTCGGATGTACTGGTGGTTGACACTCTCAGAAAATCTCAAAAAATCTTTGACATTAGCAGAAGCTCTCTTTTTTTGCTGACAATTTTCTCAATCATGCAGACTATCTACTTGTCCACCAACCCCGCAACCAAGTGTCGACATACGAAAGCATTTCACGACAAATATTGGTCGTTCATTTCCACGATCGCACGGCTCGAGTTGGAGATGGCGGGGTGTGTCAGAGGCCGCGGCTGATAAACTTTAATAGTATAGGTAAGCGTCAAATTGTTGGATTTCGAATATGAGAACACGGGTTCAACTCCTGTGTTATTTCTGACGTTCTTATGGCAAGTTAAACTCTCGCCGAACCTATTGAAAAAATACCAGTGAACGCTGTTACGTACAGATAGGGAAAGTCTGGTATCCCATCGACCTGAAGTCGATGACTCCCCCTGCCACTAGAGTAGAACGGGCTGTTCAAGAGGGATTGGTGAAGATGAAAAAATGCTGTGAAAGCAGGTCTTCTGCTTTGTGTTGTTTCTGCCCCTTCAACTTTGTTGGGTAATTGGCCTCTCATCCATGCATTTCTGATATGACATTGTGTGTGGAGACGTGTGTGTGTGTGTGTGTGTGTGTGTGTGTGTGTGTGTGTGTGTGTGTGTGTGTGTTTCCTTCGTTGTGAATGACTATCAGGAATTGGCTGCGATGCAAAGGTATCATTAGACATACATTTATTGCGTGAAGAGTCTCCGGAGAAGTTCTACAACCAGGTAGGTGGACACTGGATTTCTGAACATCACTTACCCTGCTTGTGCACTTATAATGGCAGTCACGATGGGACATCTGTACCCTTTTTCTTGGTAAAGTCTGAGATTCTAAATACTGAGAAACAATCCTTGAGCATTGACGAAGGAGAACAGGAGGAGCAGCCATGGTCAGGGCATGGGCCAGGCCCCTAAGCATTGACGAAGGAGAACGCGAGGAGCAGCCACGGGCAGCTGCTTCTACTTGGGGGCAGTCATAGCTGCGCCTGGCCCCTAAGCATTGACGAAGGAGAACGGGAGGAGCAGCCACGGGCAGCTGCTTCTACTTGGGGGCAGTCATAGCTGCGCCAGGAGGACTTACCTGGCGATGGCCGAAGAGCACACTTAGGGTGATCAGGCTCTGCAGGATTGTTGGGCGAGAGGACAGTGCACATGTGTGTGTGTGTGTGTGTGTGTGTGTGTGTGTGTGTGTGTGTGTGTGTGTGAGAGAGAGAGAGAGAGAGAGAGAGAGAGAGAGAGAGAGA